AAAAAAAAAAAAAAAAAAAAAAAAAAAAAAAAAAATTAAAAAAAAGGAAAGAGAAAGAAAGAAGGGGAAAAAAAAAAAAAATCAAGATCTCAGGGCATACTGTGGTATGCTGCAAAATTTAGCCTGTGTGCAGCTGATGAGACTGCTGGTGTGAATGGAAACTGCTGGCAATAAGAAAGTCTACAAGAGGAAACTCTGCTTGCATGCTTGCATTAATGCTGCCAAAACTTAAGTTTCAACATGCAGCAGAAGTTTTTAACCACTTAGCATGCTTAAATGAAATAAATGCATGAGGAAATGCAATGGTGGCTTGGTGTGTATCACCATTCCTACTAACATTAAACACTTAGAGGACTGTTCGGCTGAAGACCACAACGTATATCACAAAATATTTCACAAGTCATTAGCTAACTAGTGGCACAACAGTCCATGTGAATTAGGCAAGAGGCTGATAGGGTCACTTTGCTCATCGTTTAAAATGGGTGCTAGTGATAGAGCTCTGAAGCTATTAAAATAGCAGCAGAACAGTTTGTACTGGGAGTGGAAGAAGACTTTACCCAAGCAGAGTTGCAGAGAGGATCTGGGAATATGAACTTCAATTTTCTGTGCTGGATTGCAGCCAAAAACTCCAGGACAAGCACTTTTCTGCAGGACACACATTGAGATTATGTCAAAGTAATCCCCACTAGCTTTCACATGACAGCACAGGGAGAAGAAATAGGTTTTGCAAGGCAAGGAAACTGTTTTTCCATATTACTTTAGAAATATGATTTCAGATAAACTAGGAATATTTCACTTGACCATAAACCCACCCACTCAATTTTTTTTCAACACAGCTGACTTTCCAAACAAAGCTGTTTCAAACTAAGAAAGTGAAACATTTTGTTGAAAAAACAATGAAATGTTGTGATAGTTTCCAGATCTCCTTTTATATCTCACTGATAACAGGATCTTCTGCCTAAAATCTTGGTAGAGTGTTGATTCAGAGAGAAATTGTCATCTACTGAGTCATCGACAGTTGAGGTCCACTCATCAGCCAAATATTTTAGAGCTGTATTAGGAGAGTATGTTGCTTTATGATAGGTGGAAAATTTTGCCCAGGATACTTTCAAAGCCCAAAAATTCACTAGTATCCCAACAGGTGAATTGGTACAAGGGGAATTTTTATGGGGTGCTGATGGGGGAAGGCAGGCTTTCCTCTTGAAGTCAGGTTGAAGGCTTAAAAATAACAATACCAAAAGGTCTTAAAAATACACTTTCAGAAACTGATCTTTCCTGAGAAGCAATACATATAAATGCCCATATTTGAGAAGACAGTATGAACCAAGGTGGTGTTCATAAATATGAATCCAAAAATAAATTTAAAAAAATAAAATGTTGGTGTTACTGCAGATAAGCGATCAGTAAGTTTACTACATCAGCAGGCAAGAGGGAACTGTGTCAGTCTTTTTTCCCCACATTGACTAGCTCTCAGGAAACTAGATGATTTTAAATGATATTATGTGTTTTGCAAAGGAGGGGAACACTCTGACAGACTGAATCCAGAGCAGATCCAAAAGCAGTGACTATAGCAGTATTCAGAGTTTAGCCTAGTTTAACATAGTGTTATAGCAACTGTGCAGAGCTGCTTCTGCTGATTGTGTTCAACTAAGCTTAGCACTACTTCTGTCATCTCACTGGAGTCACATGGTCTTGGTCGAACCCCACTAATGTTGCAGAATGTACTTAGCTCATTACAGACGTTCATGGGATACATATGTTCACTGGCAGTATCTGGAAACGCAAACTTGGTTTTCCTTAGCATAAGCTGCCATTTATTTGTGCCTGGTTTTTTTCTGTTTTGTTTTGGTTTTTTTTGCATGATAACAAGGTCATTCCATTTTCTGCTTCTATATATCCCTTGCTTTCCCACCCTCTCGTTTATTTTTAAGTTAGTGCATAGTCCATTATATACAGCCAGACCCCTGTGCGGGTATGTGAGCAGGAGTGGCTGGTTGTGAACAGTTCTGCTTGGCACAAGCAGCACGGGTAACCACATTGAACTTGGCCTACCTATCAAGCCGAGATCCCCTGAGATTTTGTCTCAGAGGACATGCCAGACCAAATTCTTAAATTCAGAGAAAGTCATAAGTTTGAGCGGGGTCAGCTGTAATTTCAGCTTCTCTCGAGCTCCTCTGTGTGTCTTTTTCACTAGTACAGCCAAGTATCAGGAGAATAAGCATATGAAGCAGTCTAAATGCAAGGACATCTGAATTAATTTAAGGAGTCTGATATGCCCATATCTGCATCACTTCAGAATTTTGTCAGCTGCATAGTGATTCCTTGGGGATAGCACTGTGATAGGATGCCACCATGTAGAGTGCAGCCCAAGGCCATTTGGCATTGTGAAGTAATCCTAGAAACACCACTGTGGGGTCGTAGCATCTGCAAATGATGAATTCCAAAGTGCTGTAACCACTTGCACGAAGATGTCAGCTAGTGAATATTTCTCTCCTCTATTGGTATTTCTGATGTTAGAAGCCTGCTCTTGACAAACACAGTAAACATTTAAACCTCAGAAGGGAGAAAACCTATTTCTGCTGAAAGACCACCTTGGCCCCTGAACCAATAGGCATAAATGCATTATACAGAAATTTAGTCTGGAAGTACCAGGAAGTTTTAGGCATTAGAAGGCAGTTAGGCTTAGGATCAGACTCAAATAGCAGCTACTAGGAGTATCATGCCAAAGGACATGTGGTCACAGCTCATTGAAAGATCACTTCATAACCAAAATAGAAAGTTCAGGAAGGGGTCCTGAGCTCACTTGCATCCCAAAACCAAGAAAATGCTTTAGGAGAAGGTTGAGGACAACTCAGCGTTCCTGGAAATATAAGCACTGCTGCCTTAGGGAAGGGTGAGATAAGGGACATCTAAGTGTAAGGGGATGTGTAAGCTGCAGAACAACCTCAGAGGTCTCTGCTGTCTCTACAGACAGAGCAGACAAACCACCAGCCCCTGCTTTCAAGGACAAGCGTACTAGAAAGGGAACATGGACCCAAGGGTGAGCCTCAAAGCTCCTGAAGGAAGAGTTTATCAGAGCCTGTGCGTCCTTGAAGCCACCAAGCCCACAGTCTGTGACCCTGCAGCTGCCTGTTAGGCATCCACAGAAGAAGGTCTAACCAGACGAGCAATAAGGCATGAAAGCAATTTTTCTTCTTTGCTCAAATAATGCAGGCTATTGCTGACACTGAATAGCCTCGAATCAGTAGTAAGGTGAAAACTTGTGACTTACAGAAAAATAAGGCCACTTACTTGCTTTGAAACTGGAGTTTTAAGTACAGAAAGGCTTCCCCCCCCCCCCCCTTTTTTTTTCCAATAAGCTGTATAGCTTTCATCTTTCTGCTAATCAAAATGCTGTGCTGATTTAACAGTGTCATCGTGTTCTGTGGAAAGCTTAAGATAGCTCTTTTATCACCAGTTAGAACACTAGTGACTTGAAATTAGTTGTATACGTGTAGGGGAAAACAGACTGTCTGTCCCTCTGCCAGAACAAACAACTCATGTTCCTCTGACTGCATAGAGCAGGGGTAAGCAATCCTTGAGAAGAAAAAAGGTTTTAGGATCTTAATAGATGTGCTAGGGCTGACTCAGCTTTCTCACATTCCTATTAAAAAAAAAACCATAATCATCTGAATAATCCCATCTGCTGAAAATCAAATGAGGTCTGCAAGTAAGTCTCAGCCCTATGCAAGAGTTCAGGTCTGTGCCCCCTTCAGGTCAGACTTGAAAATGTGGTGCAATAAAGCTAGGTGAATAATTTGGGTTAGCTTGTACATCCAGTTTTGTTTTACAGAGCATACAGTTTACTCAGGAAAGATATATAAATAAAGATACATAAATAATTGAGGTCGGCTCAATGACCCACCAGCTGACTGTCTCTTGCACCCACCTGCATCAGTGCTACCTTGGCATCTTGCATGAGTTTTCTCCTGGAAAAACAGGGAAGTTTATACTCCTTCCCTATCCTCATATTTTCAGTTATTCTAAACTGAGATTAAAAAAAAACAAAATCCAATTCCATTTAAAAAAAAGAAGAAATAAAATGGGTTGTTGAGAGCACCCAGCTCCAGGCGGTACCCCACACGTAGCTCCTGACCCCCCCAAGGCTGCCCCATCACACAGGGGCATTGCACAGAGAGGACATATTGTGCAGGTCAAGGAAAGAAACCAGGTCTGTTTTCCCCTACGCACATGAAGAAACCCGAGAGCTTCTGCTGGGTCTGTGAGCCCCGTCCTCCCCAGAGGGGCACTGGGAAAGGAACGCTTCATACAGCGGCTCGAGGAAGGCAGCTCCGACCAACTGCTGAGGAAGTCCACATAGCCCATTATTTGACACCAACACCTGATGCTAGTCTCTGTCTAAGATCACTGGCCATTTTTTTCTGTGCCACACGTGTTACTGTTTGCCACTGGAGACTGTCCAAGTGTCAAACCACATCTCAGTCAAGGTATCAGAAACAAGAGGCAGCCTTCAA